AGCGCCCCAATAAGGGCGCTGCAAGTCAGGAGTCTACTTGCCAAATAAAACACTGAAAGTGAGTTTCATTTTTCCCCCCTATTAGAGTGAATGTTTCATACATCTGAAGTTGCATTTTACATGGGGGTTTGAACTAACTATCCAAAAATGTATTAATGTTCTGGAAAAAAAGAGGAACTGCCTTTTACTGTCGCTCCAAAGGAAGCTACAGATCAGAAGCCAACTTCGATGCTGTCTGGTTATCCCTCCTGTTTTGTAGTAGCGGGTGTATAAGCAATTAATTAAATAAATTTTTTTTAAAAATCCACCATTTACATAAATTACATAATTTTCCCGTTTTAAATTTAGCATTACTTCTTTTTGTCATGTTGCTAAACACTTGACTGTTACTTACGAAGCTTTTCTGCTCTTAGAAACTGTTGTTTGCTTTAAATGCACAATGACAAGTGAGACAAATACCATAAACAACCGGAAGGAAGGACACCGACAGTGGAGGAAGAGAGGTCCGAGGGGATTTATGGTTGTCAACCAGCGGACATTTACCCACCAGTGGATGTTCAGTCCAGCAGCAGCTCCTCTCTGTCGTCTCCCCTTCGACACTGACCCAATGTTTGCAGCTGAGAGGGGATTTATAAAATGGCGCCGTGTGTCGAGCGCCAATCAGATGCTACTACGTAGTTATATGTTGCATTCAACTACAACTAGGAATTCTAATACTGTGAAACGAGCAAACATCCACTTTAAATCAAAATTTTTACATAATCAGTTTACTGATTGTTTTTTTTAAATTTCCATTTATTAGTTTCGTGTATGTTCAGCAAAGTTAATTTTCTACATGCCGTTAAACTAGAGAGCGAATCCAAGTTGTTGTAAGTTTCCTGTTTCTGATTTTATTTGAACTCAACATGAATGGTTGCGTTCGAGTCCACAAAAACGTTCAAGAGTAATTTCACTTTTTTTGATAGATTCATTAGATTGTTTGACTAAACTGTAGGTTTAACTGCATGCGTTTCATATCACATACACTTTGAAAATATTTCAGAATTATTAATTAAATACAAAGTCAAATTCAGCAGAAGTTTTACCAATTAAACATTTCATTTGACAAAACTGACCTTTTTGACACATTAAAATCAAACTGCTGCATTTTTCAGAGAAGTACTTATTCTCTGAGTTGATGGTTTGCAACAAACCGATAATAATTTACCTCTGAAATTAACTTAAATGGACAAAAACTCAATAAAACATGAGCTCCAAATGAAACATTTAAAACAAGCAGACCTGAAAACATTAACAGCTGGGGGGTAAATAGAACCATTTGGACAGAGAAGTCCTTATGAGCAAAGAAGAGCTTTAGATAAATAAAGCAGAAACTCATTATTGTATCACCGTTGTGATAGCAAATCTTCATATTGTCACGTTTCATGACGACCTTGAACTTGATCACAGCGAATTGCAGACATCTTAGTCACGCAGAGGCGTGATTAAACTTGTGGTAAAATAAACTGAGTCATAAACTCAGAACTTAATCATGGTGGGGTGTTTCTTCAAGTAATTCACTTTAAAATAGATACAATTTACATTAATTCATTTCAAACAATTAAAAACATCAATTTATTCATAAAACCCAGCTTTAAAGCTTAAGAATTGTATTTTTTTCTTTCAATGCTTTAAATGTTTACTATTATTACTTCCAATAAAATTCAAAAATAAGATTTTTATTCATTTTATTTTATTTTAAAACATACCTATTACATAATATGTAATTAGCAGAAGCACCAATACATTCTCAGATATTAACCTGATCTTCTTGGTAGATAAAAATATAAATTGCTTAACCCCAGAACTTTGATGTACCTCACTTACCTTGTGGCCGTCTACTTTTTTCTTTACGTTGTAATAATAAATTATGTTTTTTAAATAGAATTTTACGCAAAAACTATCTTCTAATTCCAGCAGTTTTCCCGCTCACCCGCAGTTTAACTCTCTTCTTGCAGTATGCAGCTTTGTCCACTTGATGGCGCTGTTGAGTCGAACATCTGACTATAAATTGTTGCAAGTGAAAAATCTCAAATGTTTCTTAAAGGTTCTGGTGTTTTTCTGTTCTGTTCTGTAGGATTTAAAAAAATGTCAAGAATGACTGGAGGGTATTATTACACTTATCTGGACATTTTATATAAAATTTTGATTATATGAAAGAAAAAAACACCTTAACTTCTCATACCAAGAGTCAGAGCAGCTGTTTTATATGTGGGACTGTTTCCTGGTGTCATTGAGAGGAAAGAGACCTGCTGCATCTGTTACCTTCTGTTTGCTTGTATTGCAGTACCTGAACACACATGAAGCTTTTAGCACCAGCTCCTTCCAGTCTGCATGTTTATTTTGGTTCTGTTTGGTAACCAAAATATCAAGCGGAACCAATTCAAATTATTAATTCAACAAATCTCTGAATTAATAACTAAGTAGTTACAATTTACCAATAATAGGAGCAAATCTGTTACCTAAAGCTGAACTGCAGACATTATGGACATCAAGTCTTTTCAAGCATGTCCTAGATCATTTTCAAACTTTTCCAAGGTCCTCTGTGAAATATTGAATGATATATTAAGTTATTAATTACTGCATGTCTCCGTTTCTGGGTTTTCACTTTTCTCACACAGCTCCAAAAATAGTTAAAATGATTTAGGAAATCATACAGACACAGACCAGCTGTAGTACTCAGATCCTCCACTAGAGGGTAGAATGAGAGGTTGTAATTAGACTCAGCAGTAAAGAAACGTCAGAAATTTGTTTAATCAGAAATAATCTATTCTACTCTGAGGTAATACTGGATTATATCTGGAGTTTGTGAGATTATTTCTGTGTGAATGATTCACAACTCAGAGTAAAAACGGTTTAACTAACGGTTGTTCCTCTGAAGTTGTTCTGGTCCTGGACCACTAAAAGTCCAAAGAAAACCTCTGGAAGATCTTCAGAAAACCTGCAGCAATGAAGTGTTGCTGTGCAAATAAAATAATCTAGTAATTATTTTAAAACATGGAAGTCATTATGTCATTTATTTTGCTTTTGCAGAAACACATGACAGAATGATCAGCAATAACATTACAGAAACCAAGACATGTTCATTTAAAGTACAGATCATTAAATCTGATTAGTAAATAAAGCTGAAGTTACATTCAAAGGCAATTCCGTTAAAAACATTAACATGATTTAGTCAAATAACATGCAGTACAATTTAATAATCATTATAACAGAAGGCACTCAAGAGTCAGTTCATCATACTTTAACATTTAAGAAAAGTTTCTTAAAAGGAGTTTCAACTGATTGTTTCCTGTTTGACACAACAGGAAGCAAACTTTACACATCATTAATCCAAGGGATATACATCTCTGGGTTATTCTTAAACAGAACCAAAACATTTCTTTAAGTGGATCAGAATAGTCAGAGTGAAGAGAATATTTGTTGCAACACATTTCTACTTGAATAATGAAAACAAAAAATAATCCAGTTCCAGAAAACAGCCAACATTCAGACTGAATTTAATAAAACTATTATTTCAGAATGCGTGTCAAACTCGAGGCCCGTGGGCCGAATCTGGCACGCAAAAGCTTTTTATGTGGCCCTCTAGATTCTAAACACTAAGTGTGCTTAAATATTATGCCATCAATAAAATCAATGCAGTTTTTATGTTTACTGCCAAATTATATCAATACGTTCCTCCAGTTTCCTGAGAATTATCGTAGAAATTCAAGAAAAATCAAGAAATCCCAACTCTTTTGTGCTAATGCATAGTTGGGAGTTTATTGCAGATTTTTCACAAAAAATGTCAAAAACTTGTACTAAACCTCTGCCTTAATTGATGTCAGATTATAGTCCATGATCCACATTAAACATCACATAAATGAGCGCAAATGTTATAAATATTAATTTTAAGAATTCACTGATATTTTGTGAACAGGTTTTATCAATACATTCTGGCACAACCGGCCCTTTAAGAGCATTCATGATGCTGATTTGGCCCAAAGCGAAAATTTGTTTTATACCCCTGATTTATAAGATTAAAAAAAGTAGAACCAACATTTGTAAAGGAAATTCATTAATGAGCTGCTAGATGTTTGTTTATAACTGTAATCCATGTCATGTGTGATCTGCCATTTCTCTTTACACCTAATCTGAACACTAACTCTGGTCCATTTCCTCCTCAGAATCTGATTGTTCTCCTGTTTCATCTGTTCTCCCCTGATTCTCCACACTGAGAGCCTGAACTTTAGTTTGTTTCAGTCCAACAGATTCAAGGATTGTCTCAAGATATCCGTTTCCCGTTGCTTCATTCATAATTCTCTCCAACAAATCCCCCCTGCCACTTTTCTGGAGCTCACCCAGGAGCTTTTTGAATATGTCAAGCAGTGGGTAGGCATACTCCATAACACTGTGACCAGGAATCACCTTGTTATAGAAAAATCCACCAGAATGCAAACCAAACACCCGTCCAGAAGCATCAAACACTGGGGAGCCAGAGGAGCCATGGTACATGAAGCTGTTGTAGGTCACATGGATATCTGCATAGGGGTTCATTTTGATCTGATAATTAGTTGAGCAGACAATAAAGGGTTCACAGGACGCCAAGTTCTGCTCGACAGCCTGCTCCCTGTCCTCTTTCCTGATGATACATGTAACGTCCATTTTCTTCACTCCTCCTGCTGGATGTCCAATAATACAAGCCCCACCATCATAAACAGGTAGAGGTACAGGACCAAATATCTTCAGGAGGCCTGGAGGTATTTCCTCTACCTCTGGTTGACCAGGGAGTTGGATGAGCTTTAACAGAACAAAATCTAAATCATGAGTTCCACTAACTAATGTAGCCTGGTATTTCATCCCTGGTTTACCTTTACTTTCGAAGCTGAACTCTGCAGTAATAGTCAGATAGTTCACCCAGTTATTTATTTTCTCCCAAGGTTCAAACAAGTGGGCATTGGTTAGGA